CCCCTCCCCCCCCATAATTGCCCTTTTTTCTTATCCATTTTTAACTGTTTCACTCCCCTTCGTGCCGCGGCTCGGAATGTTCGGTGTCCTGCAAAGGTTTCCTTTATCTTGTCGTGCCCGCTTCTTGATGAGATGGCGGCTCTCGGCCCTTGGGATTCCCAGGGCTGGGCATGCTTGCCCTTCAAAAGAAGCCAAAGCCCTGCAAAACAGAGTAAATCCACCGACAAAGATCTGCAAAGCTGTGGGGGGGCAAAAAATGGCCAATGATCCACGGTTTCCCAGTTCATTGGTGTGGAGAATCCTGACTTCTCCACGTCAGGCTGAGCCAGGATTTTTGGCAGGCGAGCAGAAAGACATCCCTTTTTCCTGCTCCCCGGTTGGATTTGCTTCAAGGGATCTGCTCAGTTTGGGTTTGGGCTTTTCTTTTGCTCTCCTGACGAGCAGCTGGAATTAAAAAAGGGAGATGTGGGAACTAGTGGGATGAGTGAAGCCACTTGTCAGTCTCGTGAGGCTTGGGAATGTAGCTCCAGGCTTATCTCAGTGGGAAGCAGCCACTGGCAAGGCTGGTGAGGGAGACCACTCGCCCACCACCCTCAGTTTGGTGCCAGGGAGATGAGAAAGGGAGAACAAAAATCATTCAAAAGTGGTCTGTGGGGGAAAAATAAACAGAGTGGGCAGTGGATCTTGGGGTATTGAGGGCTGCTCCTTGCTCTGCTCCTCCCCAAAATGATAAGGGCTGTGACCAGCAGGTCTTAGAAATCCCTGTGCCTGTCCCTAGTCCCATCATGCTGTGTCTAGGCATTGTAAAACTTCAGGACTTAGAAAAATTCCAAATTTTTTTCCTTGAAAGTTCTAATTTTTTTTTACAGCAGTTGCAAAAATCATCACCCCGATTTTGTAATTTGCACTGGCCGTTTTTCTCTCGTGTGGCCTCTTCCTCAGTGCTGAAGCATCATCACTTCACTCCCAGCAATTACTTGCTGTTTTATTTTTCAAGACTATGAACATGTTGCAGTTGTTTTAGGGTTTATTTTGACAGCTGTTTTTTTTTAAGCCAAGATGAAATCATCTATTACTCTGGGCACATAGGGAACAGTGGCATATTGCAGAGGTGAGGGTTTTCTTTACAGAAACACGGATTTTTCACTCCTTAACTTGAGGTTTAGCAGCTTTCACCCTATTGTACTAAAATATGCTCGTGAAATAAAGCTAATTGGGTTGTCTGTGTTGGTATAAACTACATTCAGGATAAATTGCTCTTAAAAGTGCAGCATTTGTTGTGTGGTTTTGGGGTTTTTTTTCCTAACGTGTGTGTCTGTTTTTATGTGACCCAGTTGGCTGGGGAAGTGATCAAGGGATTGGAGGATTTGGAGAGGAACCAGGAATTAAAGCACAGCTGACAAACCTCATTCGATCAATACGAACCGTTATGAGATGTAAGGGCACAATATTTTCTATTATTATTATTACTGTTACAATCTGTAATGTCTTGTTTCTGCACTAATCTGTACTTCCTCTAGGCCTGGACTATCTTTAAGGGTGCAGGCTTTGCCTGAAGTGCCCTAATTCTAATAAAAGTACAAAAACATTTCCTGCCTCTGGCTTGCATTTCTCCTGCTGGGCTTTTGCCTTCTCTTGGAGTTCAGCAGCTGGGAGGAAGCTTGATGATCAACCAAAGTGTGCAATTAGTGTCAATCACCTTGTCTAAATCCAGTTTTATGGGGAGTACCGGTGTGGGAAATGTAATTCCGAGTTTAAGAAAGGCAAGCCAGGCTTATGTGCCTCAGAAGATGGAGAAAAATATACTTAATTTGTAAGTTACTGATAGTTCTTCATTATGAAGGACACCAAAAATTAATTTTGTAGATGATGGTAGAGAGGGAGTAACAAATCTTAACCTGTGCTGCCTACCACTCAGTAAAACTCAAAACATTTATTCTAAAGCACATTCTAAAGCCAAGGATAGAAACTGAATTTTAGATGGTTCACTTTCATTTGGAGAAAGAATTATTTGTGTTAAAGTTAAAAAAAAAATTAAAGGCTCTGGGTTAAAGTTAAAACAGGGTGTGGAAAAATATTTCTCCTGTTGCTTTCTACTAATATCTAGTATCCTAGGATTTGAGCCTGGCTCCTTCCACTGCTCCCAACTTTACATAGGAAAATTAAGTTTATTTCTAAAATTTTGACTGGTCCTGCTCCTTCTCCCAAGGTTTTATGAAGCTCTGTCATTTTGTGATGTGAAAAGGAAAAGTCTCACTATTAATTTCTCTTTTTTTCCCCTCTGCAGTGCCATTAATAGCCCTGAACTCCATCACAATCATTTTCCTCCTGTTGTTCGGTTGAAGACACCCAGTAGAGATCCTTTGGACATCCAAAGAAGCCAGTTGCTGACCACCACTGCTCCGAGTTCCCTGGAATCCAGCATGGTTTAGCTGTCAATCTGACATTCAACTTAATAAAAGACACTGTTTCTATTTATCCCATTTCCTAATGTTCCCTTGCAGTTTCATTAAGCAGGATCACGGGATCAATGCAACAATGCTGCAAACACATTGGACTGTGACCAGTTCTGTTGCTGCCTGTTCATAGTGTTGATTAATTATTAGAGTAAATGTCATAGGATGTTGCAGTGACTGGCAATGGGCTGCAGCTTTTAAATGCCTCGTTACTCAGGGATGAATTTCCTTCAGTACGCTCTCCAATTTGTTTTTAAATTGAGGAAGACAGCAATCTGTTTGTTTCCATTTCAATTACTACCATGGAACTGTTTAAGAGAATATGAATTAGGCTCTAGAAATGTGTTATAAAGAATAGTTGTTATAAAGGATTGAAGTCCAGCTGAGATATAGAGGGAGATAAAACCAGCTGGGTAAAGTCCTGATTCAGGTTAACAATGAAAGCTGAATTTTCCTTCTTTGATTGGGGATTTTTGTCTTCCAAGTCAGTATTTCATACTGATGGTGAAGTCAGTTGAAAATGGGTGCAATTGCAGTGCAAAACTGAAAAAAAAAAAATTAAAAATTAAGAAAAAAAAAGCTGTACCTAGAGCTGGGTAACTCTCTGTTAACTTTGGGGATATTAGTGATTAACATTTGTTACTTTTCTGTCAAGGATTGTTATTATACTTTTTAAAATATGTATTAAACTTATGCGTGGTGATTACTGTGGTTGAAGTGGGGAACCATTTGTATTCTGAGCTTCCGGGAAACAATGCAGGGAGGTGAATACCCTGTGCTTTTCAAATGCATTTATTTGTGAAAAATCTGCGAATTTGCAGCCTTTTCTGTTACTGCTCCTTCCCCTGCCCTCCATCATCATCATCATTTGTTAAATTAACAGCTTTAAAAGTGCAACTGTGTGTGTGTGTGACTTAGCAGTTCTGTCGCAGAGAATGCTGCTAATTGCTTTCCAACCACGTCTCATCTCAATTAAGACTGCTGAGTTAGGTCTGAATTGGAAAAGGTGATTCTCTGGTATCCTTTTAGAAAAGTTAGAATTCTTTGTCTGTTCCTCTGCTAAAGTGTTTTCCCTTAATTTTGAAGAGGGGAGGTCGAGGGAAACCTGTCAGTTTCATTATTTTAAAGCAGCTTAGTCAATCATCTTTTCTCCTGATGTCTTGATGACTAAAGCATATGCTGTTGTATATGAAGAATCTGTAAAATGTAAATGCATTTAATCATCTTCAATCACAGTTTTTTGCAGAGTAAAGTACATCCAGGAGAAGAGTTTTATGTTTTTTCCTTTTTTCTTAGTGATTTTTGTAAATAAATCCTAAATTTGCAAGTTAAGCACTCTCTTTCCTAACTCTCTATCTGTGTACAGTGGGGATATCTCAAAACTCTGCTTCATCCTGTTCCAAATACCAGAGTTATTGCTCTTATATGAAATACATGATTTTTCCCTCGTCTCTGTGGCACTTGGCAGTATCGTGTCTCTGCTGTGGAGCTGTGTTTTGGTTTATGTAGCAAACCCAATGAGACGTGGTAACACTGTCCTGAGGCAGAACAGGATCTTCGGGATCTTTAAATTTTAAAACACGTAGATCTGTTACAAGTAATTCCTTTAAGGTGATCTTTGTGTCAGTCAGAGGTGACGAGTGTTACAAATACATATATTGGCTTTTCACAAAAATACTGAAATGGATGTTATCTATATATAATGTTAAAGTAATTTTGCTTTAGTTTTTTATTTCTATTAACGGAACTTAGGCAAAGTAGTGGAATAGCTGATGGTTATGCTTGAACTGCTGCTTGGTTGGGATAACAGCTGATGCACACATGATGAAGACCCCTGCTACTGCTATGCCAGCAAACACACAGCCGTTAAACTTCACTTTATTTTTGTCTCCTATTGCCCTTTATTAAACTTTTATTTTATTAAACTTTATTAAAATTTTACCAGGAAAGTGCAGCTCATTTTTCACAACGAGGGTCCAGCCTGGCTCAGTTTTCACAGATCTGTCTTCCGTGGAAATGGGGCAATCTGTGTGTGGAACATTTTGTATTCCTGTGAAATTTTTTTGGAGAGAAAAGCAGCAGTTGATGTTTGCGTGGCTGTGGCACTGGAAGCAAGTGCCAAACTGTAACTCCATTTCTGCCTCTGTTGACTGTCAAAACTTGATTTGTTCTTACTGAAATAAAAGTGAGTACTAAAGATTACAAGCAGCAGCTTCAAAATAAAACGGGTGAAAAGTGAATTTCTCCTTGCTGTGCTTCCAGAGGGGCTGCACGCATGGGCAGAGCCAGCTGGGCACGTGCAGAGAGAAGGAGCAGCAGGAATCCCACGTTGGAGGCAAAACTGGGACGAGTTCCACCTGACAGGTGAAAAATAGCGATTCAAAGTGGGCCAGCAGCCAAGGACCAGGTGTGCAGGTAGGGAGCAGAGAGAGGGCGAGGGGTGTGCAGGGACAGCCGAGGAATAACCACGCTGCTGCTGTCTCCTCCTGTGGATTCCAGCCCTTCTGGAACAGCTCTGCAGCTAAAACTGCCAAAAAACATGGAACATGCAAAATAAAGTTATTACATATATAAACACCTTATATAGTAGTATATATATATACATATATACACCTTAGTAGTAGTTTGTAAATATATATATGTTACATTTATAGATTAAAATTCATATTACAAAAATATATAAACATGCATAAATGTAGAATTAAAGGTATAGAAATTTATTTACATATTCTTATGTGAATAATATAAGCGGATTAGTCACTATGGACATATCATGAATGTAATTTAAAACATTCAATTGTAGATATATAATGGGAATAATTTATTCCCAGTATCATATATATATATATATATATATATATATATATATATATATATATATATATATATATATATACACTAGTTATCATGGATATATTGTGGGTATTATGTATCTATATATAGATATATATATATAGATATAACATTTTGTATATAACGTTTATATAAGTATAAATATATTTATAATAATAATATCGACATCTGGATATATTATTATATATAATAAGCATACAGGACATGGTATATTCATAATATACAGATTATTTATATATTATTGATAATGGCTTATGGTTATCCATAATGTATGACTACGGACATAAACATGTCCATATAGGATATAAGGAATATAATTTACATTATTATGATCATATCCACATATGATATGATTTTAAATTGTATATCTAGGATAAGGAGGCTGTAACAGGTATAACGATAGGGATATAATGGATAGAGCGGGTGTAATTTTTACAATTTATAACCATACCCATGTCACGAAACCCTCAGGGCCCTGCGGGCTGCCCCCCCGCGCTGCCTGTCGCGACTGCCGGACGCGGACCGGCGAGAGGCCCTCTGAGGGCTGAGGTCGGTATTTATTTATGGCAATAATCATTACATTTTGTTTTTCATTTGCCGCGCTGGTGGCGGGCGGGCCCGGCGCGGGGCTGGGCGGGCGCGGCTCTGCCAGGACCCCGCGGGCGGCGGGCAGAGCGCAGCGGCGGCGGCGGGAACGGGTCAGTGCCGGGGGAGCCGCGCTCCCTGCTACCCCCTCTCCTCCGCGTGGGCGCGTCCGTCGCACTCGGCCGCGAACGGGCGGGCGGAACCATCCGCGTCAGGAAAAGGGGAGCTCGCGGAGGTCGCGACTCCCCCGATAGGGAATGGGCCAGCCCGTGTGCCCGTTGTGAGCTGGCGGGAAGGGGCGGTACCATCTGATTGAGACGGGGGTTTTGTGGGACGGGAAGGCACATCTCTGTGTCATCAGAATCTTTCCATCGCGCATATGTATTCCAGAGACATATATAACCATATCTATTTTTATAGAATTTATCCCTCTTTCCCTTAGGTTGTGTCTTGTTGTGTTCCTCGTGTCCTTGTCCCAGTGACCGGGGCTGGGGGGGTCCCTTTGTCCTGACAAGGTGAGTTTTCCTTGGGATGTGATTATGAAAACGGTGGTTCTGGAGGCCTTTTAGGACTTCCTTGGCACTTCATGAGCTTTTTCCTTAAAATTAGGCTGTGCTGGAAACTGGCTCTTCAGATAACTTCCATATTTCCCGGATAAATATACTGTGAACAGGAGAAGCAATGGAAATGTAGGGCAAAAATAAAATCACAGTAACAGTAGTAGTAGTAATAATAATAATAGTGGTAGTAGTAGTAATTTCTGTTGAAATTGATGGAGTTAATTAATCGTTTAGGAGTTCTCAGCTGTGTGTTCTCAACATGTAATTTTGGATTTCATATCAACAGATGTACAGTAAAAGAAGCACTTTTATTTTGAGAGCCAGCATGAATAATGGTAGTGGAATATCAAAATTTCGTGGTGTGTGTGTTTGTGTGTGTATGGTGTACCTGAGACAGCAGGTTCACATGACCATTTATAAAACTGTCTGCAAACATAAAACTGACAGAAATTTATTAGGGCAGGTTCCAGTCATGGTGTTGACTACTCCTCTTGACTTGTACTTTTTTTAAAGTATAAGCATGCTACATGTTATCTGTAACCAAACCAGCTGAACACAAAATTGTGGTCACTTGTAGGGTTGGCAGATCCCAGAGTGGTTTGGGTTGAAAGGGACCTTAAAGTCCCTCCAGTGCCACCCCTGCCATGGCAGGGACACCTTCCCCTGTCCCAGGCTGCTCCAAGCCCTGTCCAGCCTGGCCTTGGACACTGCAGGGATCCAGGGGCAGCCCCAGCTGCTCTGGGCACCCTGTGCCAGGGCCTGCCCACCCTCCCAGCCAGCAATTCCTTCCCAATATCCCAGCTGGGCCTGCCCTCTGGCACTGGGAAGCCATTGCCTGTGTGCTGTCCCTTCATCGCTTGGAAATGGTCTCTCTCTGCCTTTCCTTTCCCTCACGCACCGGAAAGCCAAAATCCGTTCACCCCAAAGCTTCTCTTCTATAATCCCAGCTCTCTCAGCCTTTTCAGATGTTTGTTGTCTAATGATAGGAGAAAATGTTGCAGTATTGGTGCTGTATTGGACATTTTCTGAGAAACAGCTCCTCAGACTTTTTAATGGAGAAAAATTCAGTGCTTGCAGCACACATGAGGGGAAGTGTTTGTTTTTGGAGACAGGTGTTTGTTTTTCTTTAGCCAGGTGACTCAAACATCAGGTCTCTGTTCCTTCCCTGGTGCCTTTACCCTTCAAATGCTGGGTTTTATTTTGGGCTGAGTCTATGGAACCAGAAAAACAGGGCCTGGCTGTCCCTTTTGCAAGACCCTTCAAGGTGCTGGATATGTGTGAGTCCTGAGAGCTTCCAGGCTAAAAATCTGCAAAGTCCTGACTGTTAGCACTGAGCAGCCTCAGAGTGGATGTGGTGTGGGCTGCATCACCCTAGGTCTCTCTTGCAAAAATAAAAACCACAATATCCACTTTGGCAGAGCATTTTGAGCTTTACAGCCAGAGCACTGTGTCTTTATTTTCACTGTTGGTGTCGCTGGGACTTGCTGAAATATTCTTGCTGAATTGACTGATATTGCCTTGAGCCAGCAATCCCAGACCTTCTCCCCAGCACCCTTGAGTCATTCACAGAACTTCATTTTATTTTGTTTTGATGCACTTAAAGAACAAACAGCACCTGATTCCCACAGGGTCTTTTGGATAAAAACACCACCCCATCAATTATGTGGGTTTTTAAAAAAATTCTTCCTTTTATCCCCCAACCCAGAAGGGCTTATTTCATGCTGTGAGTGATGTTGGCAGCAGTGAGGTGCTTGTGGAGCCCCTGGGTGCTGTCCCTGCTGTGTGCTCAGCGCTCTGGGGCTCCCTTTGCCTGTCCCAGGGCGCGATGTCGGCGCGGCGCGCACTGAAGGCCGTGCTGGTGGATCTCAATGGAACCCTCCACGTCGAGGACTCGGCTGTGCCGGGAGCCCAGGAGGCCCTCAAAAGGCAAGTTTCCCCTCTTTTGTTTAGGTTTCCTCTGGGAGGTTGTGTTTTTGCCGATTGCTCAGAGGGGTGGGTGAGTGGGGCAAGCACACGGACAAATCCTTCACCCTGTGTTAATGCCAGGAGAGCTCAGCAAAGGGTGGAGATAGTGGTGTCACCCTGCTGCTTTCCTCAGCGGCTCTTTCTGTGTTTTCTAAGCCTTTTCTAGACATAAACCCCCCAATATTCAAGGTCTCTCCACTGATTCACATGTGAGACAGCCATAGCCAAAGTGGAATTCAGGTGAATTACCCCAAAATCAGTTCAGCTGAACTGTTCCTGATCGTCTCAGATCTTTTAGATCTGTGCTGAGATAAAGTGGGATAGCAAAGCTTGGTTTAGTGAGCAAGGCAACCTCTGCAGAGTT